GAACCCGTTCGCGGTTTTGTTCACGGGGGTCCAGGGACGGGGAAGAGCCGTCTGTTTCATTGGATCACCAGGATGTTCAGGGAGGCGTTGCAGTGGGAGCACGGGGTGCAGTTCCTCTGCGTTGCGTTCCAGAACAGAGTGGCACACGCGATGGGCGGGGTGACGATTCACTCCGGCGGCGACGTGTCCGTAGGAGGCGGTGATAGGACTTTGTCACACACTGACGTGGACGTGCTTTTCATTCGGAATCAGGCGGCTCGGTGGCTGCTCATAGATGAAGTAGGCATGGTGGCGGACGCTCTGTTGGGCGCGTTGGACAAGCACCTCTCGGACGCGGCGCAGGTAAAAACCGGCGCCGTCATCGTTCGGACAAGACCTCCAGGCCATTCGGCGGGTACAACGTTCTTGCCTTAGGCGATTTCTACCAAATCCCGCCGATTCCTGCTTCGGCCGCGATATTTTCCCGCCGAAGGATGGCAAGACGTGCCAGGAAAAAAACAGCTGTAGAGTTGTTCTGGAGCAGTGATCCGCGCGTTGGTTTTGCGCATTTCTGGGAGCTGGTGGTGCAGAAGAGAGTTGCGGTGGATCCGTGGCACAGAGCGGTGTTGCAGGAGGCGCGGGAGGGTTGCATGTCAGAGGAATCGTACCAGTTCCTGCTGGGCATGCCGACGGCTCACGCGGGGTGCTGGCCGTTTGCGGCGGGATGCGCGTGCCGGGAATAGAGGCGCAGGGCGCTAGACGCGGTTTTGGCGGACATGAAGCTGCGCGGGGCGGCGTGGCAGGCCATGCGGGCGCTGGGGTGCGCGGAGTGCCCGGCCGAGCGTGAGAGGAGGAACCGGCTGGTGCTGCCGAAGGACCGGCGCGTGGTTCAGGAGCCGTTCGTGCCAGCGCCGTACATGCACAAGAACAACGACCCGAAGTGCCACGCCATGCTGCTGAGGGCGGCGGGGCCTGCCAAAGCCCACGAGTTGCATACTCTGTGGTTCACCGCTCAGGATAAGCCAGACAACCCAGCTCAGATTGCGAAGACACCAGGGAAGCTCAAGCAGGGTCTGGAGAAGTTGCTCATGCTGCATGACCAGAAAACGGCGGGAATTCCAGGTGTCAGCGTCTTGTACGTGGGCATGAGGGGCCGGGCGAGTGAAAAAGTGTGCAAGACAAAAGACATTGTGATTTTGAAGGACATGTCTTGCGAGCTGGTCGGGTGGGAGCTCCACCCCGCCGATCGCGTTCGAGTGGCGGGGTCGGAGAGGTTCCTGACCTACTTGCCCCGTTGCCTGTACCTGCGCGTGGACGGCGCGGCATGGACTGTGGATCCGAAGTTGGGCCCTGGCGTGTCCCCTCTGCACCCTGCGCAACGGACGTGGGAATTATGCAGAGAGCCTCATCGGCAGCTCCGGCGGATAGTCGAGTCGAGGGTGGGAGCGGGAGTGGAGGAGGTCAAGGGGAGTGGGGGAGATGAAGGGCGCGAATGTAAGGCGGGGGGGAAGGGCAATGAGCAGGAGGGCAGAGGTGGCGGGCAGAGATGGCGACGGGGGAGGGTGGAAAGTCGAAAGCGAGAGGTCGAGGGGTGCGCGATGGCCGACGGAGCGCCGAGTGGGCGCGCGCGGAAATGCAGCGTCGCGGGCGAAGATCCGGCGGGCGGGTTTCACCTGGATCCCGGACTTCGCGAGCACGGCGTTTATGATGCAGGGGGCGACCTTGACGGCCGGGCTAGCCGACTGCGGAGATGTTCTGAATTTGGTCGGATCCTCTGAGGCGATGACCGCGCGCGTGATTCTCTTTCGGCCCACGTCGGCCGAAGGGCCCCTACTGCTGCGCGCTTTCGCGCCGGAGCTTTTCCGGAAAGGCGCCGCAGCGGGGCCCTGGCGCCTGTTGAAGTTGCTGCGGGCGAGGCAGGGGCCGGGCGCAGCGGCTGCAGGAGAGGCCGCAGGAGAAGCTCGGGAGCACGGCAGAGTGGAGGCGACGGAGGAGTACGCCAAGATGGTGGCTTCGCAGGAGGCTGGCAGAGAGCGGAGGAAGCAGCGGGGTCCAACGTGGGCGCGCTGGCGCTGTCGCCTTGCGTTTCCAGCGGATGGGGTTCGGAGCAAAGCCGCGGCATCGGGCAGACATCGGAGAAAAGTGCTTGGGTCCAGGGCATCGGCGCGAGTGCAAGGCGTGCGCGGACGCTCTGTGTAGCGAACGGGCGAAGGGTTCGGCGGCGAGCTTCGCGAAGAAACAGTGCATCTCGTGTAAGCGCCTACAGATTGGAGCGCTGTTCGATGACGGGAGTGACGAGTGCAACGCGTGCGTGCTCGCCGGCAGCTACGAGATTCACGTTTGCGCGATGTGCGGAGAGTACGTGTCGGGCTCGCACGCGTTCAGGATGCCTGGAGCAGCAGCGTCGCACTGTTGTTCGAAGTGTTGCAGAGACCAGCGCGTCTTCGAATGCACTGTGCGCGGCATGGAGAAGCCTGTGATCAGTTTCCGAGGGCAGCCACGGCATGTGCGCAGACAGGCCATCCGACGGCGCGCGGACTGCGAAGTGTGCGTCGTCTGCAAGGAGAGGGTCCAGGACTACAGGAAATCCGCGTGCAATGGACGGGTGTGCGCGATGCGCGCGCCAGTGAAGTGCGAGGTGTGCGAGGGGACGCTTGCGAACCACTTGTTTCCGAATGGTGGGCGGGCGCGGCAGATGGGCGCTGCGCGGAATGTGATGCGGTGCCTGGAGTGCCGAGAATGTCCGGAGTGCAAGCAGGTGCTGGACATGCAGCGCTTCTCGAAGGCCGAGAAGGTGTGCAGGGCATGCGCAATAGATAAGTGCGAGCCTCGCACTGCGAGGTGTGCGAGAGGACGCCGGCGAATGACTGCCTTCTGGATGGTGGGCGAGCCGGCAGACGGGCGCTGAGCGGAACGCACGGCGGTGCTTGAATTGCCGCGAATGTGTAAAGTGCAAGGAGGTTTTACAAGAGGCGCTTTTCGAAGGCCGAGAAGGTACGCAGGCGGTGCGGGGCCGAGCGGACAAAGTGCACGGCGTGCGCCACAGAGAAGGACGCCGCGGAGTTCGACGTGCACGTGCTGTCGAATGCGAGGAAGCACGGCCGAAACGCAGCGTGCGGGCAGTGCTGCGCGGGCGGGTGCTCTGTCAGGGATTGCACGAAGTACGCGTGTGAGGGGTGTGGGCCACGGGGCCGCATGAAGTTTGACACAGAGCGTCTGCGCCAGGCGAAGAGGGGCGGGATGCATATTATTCTGTATTGCAGGGGCTGCAGTAGCGGGGGGGCGACGTCTCAGAAGAGATCGATCGAGGTGAGTGTGCTCCGATGTCCGATGGCGGTGAGTGGCCGCGCGACGTGCGACTGGACTGACTGTGCTGATGTCGGCGCGGCGCATGCCGAAAAGAACGGAGAAAGGGCAGCGGGTGCTTGTGGTCATTGTCGGGTTCCGTGACGGAGCGGAGGAGGTTCCCGCAAATCCCCGAAGGTTCCCAGCCTGCGGTTTCCGCGGGTGCCTCGAGGCTTCCCCGGAGAGCTCCAGGGGTCGTAGGAGGGGGGAGTCGTGGCGTAATTTCTGACCCCTCCCGAATTCGCGGTCTTCCCACAACTTGTGCTCTTCTCTCCAATTCTCGGAATCCTCCCGCTTCCCGCCCGTTCGTGGGGATCTCCGCGTATTCATCGGCAATCCTCCGCACTCCTCCCGCATTCGTCCCTCCATTGCAGTTGTCGCCTCTCTTCCCCCATCCTCGGAGCCCGGCGGGAGTGAAACAGCGACGGGCCTGCTGCGGCGCGCGCGGGGCTTACCGGGAGGATGGGGAGGACAAGAGGAGAATGACGATGACGGTGATGAGGATCAGGATGAGGATAGGAGGAGGATCAGGACGAGAAGGGGGAGGAGGGTCAATGGGGGAAGAGAAGGATGATTGGCGCGAGCGTGGATATATGAGGAATATGAGGTTCATGACGAGGTTGAGGATGAGCGTGATGATGAAGGCGAAGATGATGATGAAGGCGACGACGACGATGATGATACTGAGAATGAGCGAGCGAGCGGCCACGGCGTTACCTGAAGGTGTGCCAGTAATCAGCTCTCATGCTGGAGGCCGGCTGTGCACGGGCTCCGGGCGGAAACTGCGCTGCATGCAGCACGTCACTGTTGCACAGAAAAGGAATGTAGAATATGTATGGCGCGGCGGGCACAGATGCCGCCGCGCGCCCCTCACCGCGTTGAGTCGGCCGGTCTTGGTGGCCGCCGCTGTCGAGCCACAAGGCGCCCTCTACCGGCCAGCGCGTCGGCTCGTGCCAGTTCTCGATCGGTTTGGTCCGCGGCCTCGATCAAGGAGTCCTCGTATCTGTGGAGCTGGCTCGCACGCATCATCTCACGGCAAACCTGGGAGCTGTGCTGCAAGTGGTGGACAGCCCGCGGTCGGGATCCGTAGTCTTTGCCGCGTGCTGGGCATGTGGGCGTGATGCAATATGCCCGAGCCGTGGCAACTATGCGATGGGCTCGGTGCTGGTGGCCTGCGAGGCCGCGCCATCCCTTGCACCACTTGTGACACAGGTCGCACTGGAGAAGCTGTTGCGCCCGGTCAGGGTCGAGCGCTGGGCTTCGGCCCCTTCGACTTCGGCAGCCGTTCGCGGGGGGGCATGCTGTGCAATGGCACCCGGGCGATTCGGGAGGAGAGCGATCGCCCTCGCAAGCCTCTGCCAACGTGGGCGGGATGCTGTGATATAGCGTGCCCACTGCGCGGGCGCCGCCGCCGGCGACGGCAGATGGCGCAGTTCCTGGGAGTGCTCCCACATCAGGGTGAGGTCGTCGAGGAGGAGGCGGGCGTGCGGCGGCTTAGGCTCCGCGCAATGGACGGCGCGAAGGTAGGCTGGGCCGTCCAGCAAAACCGGCAGCAGCCATAGTCGCCTGCGTGTGATCGCCATGCCCAGGGCGGAGTGCCCGAGCTGCGCGCGCACCTGGTCATCGTTGACGTCGGTGTGGCCGAATCGAGGGTGTCCCAAGATCTGCCGCCGCGGTCACATGTAGGCCGCTCGCGCGGGGCGTCTGGCCACCGGGTCGTCCTGCAACCGCAGCTCTGCGCCAAAGAGGAGCTGGGAGTCCAGAAGCGAGCGCGCCAGGGAAGCGCGGGTCGCCTTCGAGAGGTGGCAGGAGCCGAAGACGGTGTGGGCCATAGGGCCGGAAGTCCTCTGTATCTTGGTGGCCTTCGCCTGGGCGTCGAGCACCGATCGCCCAGAGGTCTGAAGGGTCGCCCCAACGTGCTTGTGATGGTGCACGATGCCGCAGCGCCTGGCGTTGGTGCCCAGCCCTTGGTCGCCTGCTTCACTTCGAAGCTGACTGTATGCCGCGCGGGCGCCCACTCCGAAGAGGCGCAGCATGATGGCCGTCTTCTCCGGGCCGAAGTTGATCTTGAGGCCGTAGCGAGATAGCACCTCGTAGAACACGTCGACGGCCCGCGTGAGGTTGTCGATGAGCTGTGCCGGCGTGTCCGCCTCGAGAGCTCCGCTAAATCGTCGACGTACGTGGATTGGTCAACGGTGATATTCTCCAGGTCGCCTTCTGGGTTGACGTTGCGCCAGGGCACGGCATCCGTGGGGGCGGCCATGCGGGACGAGACGTCAAGCTCCTTGAGCCTCTCGCGCACCTCGGCCAGCATGATGTTGTAGATGACATAGAAGATGATGGCGCCGAGCTTGTCGCCCTGGCGCGCCCCGATGGTCGACGAGGCAGCCGGCGCGTCGTCAGTGACTGGCGTGACGTCGCGTCCGTCGTTGGGTCGCACGTGCCACCATGTGGCAGTGTGCCAATCTGCGATCAGCTGGGCCGCCGCCGGCTCGATTCCGCCATCGAGCACTCTGGGGCCGTGGACTTTGAGGTACTTGTGGACGGCGCTGGCCACATCAGGCGGGACGCCTCGTTGCATCAAGGCGGGGATGAGCTTCGTGAGCGAAACGCCCCTCGGACCCAGGGCCAGCTCCCTGAAGACCGTGTCGAAGGCCTTGCTGCTGAGGTCTAGGAAAAGGATGGCCCAGCAGCGCCGAGTGGCGTTATGCCGAGAGATCCAACCAGCGGTGGCGGCTCCTGCGGAAGCCGTGCCACGTCCTTTCACGCGCCCTGCCTGCGACTCGGGCACAAGCACGTCCCGGTAGGATGGCAGAAGCGGCATGGAGATGAGGTCGGCGTAGGTTTTCGCGAAGGCTGTCTCGGCGACCACTCCGCGCTCATTGTCCTTGATGTGGGTCGGGCCTTTCTTGTGGATATTGAAGCTCGTTCCACCCTTCAAGTGCACTGGGGCCCTGTGCTGCAGCAGGCATGCCTCGAAGAGTGGAGAAAGCATCCGAGGGCAGCCTTCGCCCGCTGCTTTGACCACGTCGTGGCGGAGGGCGTCCGGCCCGACGGCACGTCGGCCGGGCAGGTGGGCGATGGTGTCGGCGACGTGGTCTGGCGAAGTGTCAGGGAATCTATGCCAATCGAAAGGTGGAGCAGGCGCCTCGCCGACCAGGTAACCGGCATTGCACTGCGGTGCGGACTTGAGCTGACCCGCGGTCGTGACCTGCCCTCTGTACAAGCCAGCCCAGTACGCAAGCCAGTCGGCGGCGATGCCCTCTGGGTCGAAGAGCAGCGTGCCGTTCTCAGTGATCAAGGATGAATGGCCTTTGGGCCTCTGGCCCTGTCTCAGCTGTTTGGCGATGCGGCACAGCGTGGACGCGTCACCGTGGTCGGCAGCGGCTGCGGCTTCCTCGGCCAGAGCCGAAGTCCAGGCCTCGCGGTCTGCCTTGACCTTGTCCTTCACGGAGCAAGAATGGGCTTTCGCATGTATGGCTACAGGTCCCCATTGGCAATGCGCCCTGTGCCATTCCACGGCTCGGAGGTCGGACGTGGCTCTGCCTGCAGGCTTGGACCAGGCCTGAAAGAAGAACTACAGGGTGGCTGTCTTCGCGGCTTCGGTGGCCTGAAGGTAGGCCGTGCGAGCGTTGGGCGTCGTCTTGACCAGGGCCCAGGTGCCCTGCGAGAGCCGCAGCTTGCGCGGTAGCTTGGGTGCCGGCGCTGCGAAGTAGAACTGTTGCAGCTTATAAAGCTCCTTCGATATGAATTCGAGGTACTCGTCGGTGGAGCTCCACCAAGATGCCTGAACCACGTCGGCCAGGCAAGAGACGGCCCCCCGGAAGGCGGCCACGCAACCAGGGTTCTCCAACCGGAAGGGGTCGAACTTCATTCTGGGCGGTCGCTTTTCTGGCCCCGGCGCGCTGCCGAAACGTGGCATGAGCCTGGTGGTAGTCATGGAGTGGTCTGTGCTCTCGATCGTGGAGATATTCTCCTCAGTGTGCACCTTGTAGGAGCCAGCCTGGTGCCAGACCTCCCCGAAAGTAATGAGTCGGTCCAGCCGCCTGTGTGAGCCTTGGGAGCTCCTCCAGGTGGGGGTGATTTTTTCATGTTCTTCCATGAGCTCCTGCACGAACATCTGGTTGGACCCTGGGGCGGTGTTCTTGTCGTCAGCATTCGAGTCGATTCCGAGGACGATGCACCGTCGGCGTGGGAGGCTCTGGAGCGTGTCCCTGAGGAGCTTCCAGAATGCGAATTTCTCTTGCTCTGGGGCCACGTTGGTTGGGGCGTGGGCCGAGGTGGCATAGAAGAAGGTGTCGCCCAGGGCCACGCGCGTGAGGATGATGCGGGGGCTGATCACCTCGGAGACCATGGTGGCATCCTTAAAAACGGCATGCCGGTACCAAATCTGTGATCCGTAGTTCCCATTTTTGTCGCCTGCCGCCACGTGGCGGAGGTAGTGAGTGCCCGTCGATGTGCCATCGTGGGGGAGGCGCCCTTCTTGGACGAAGATGATGTCGAGCCTGTGGCGGTGAAAGAGGTCATCCAGGTAGTCGATGCGGGTGGTGGAGTCGATGCCGGCCTTCGCATTCTTCCTATACTCAGCGGGGCTGAGCGTGGTGACGTTGGCCGAAGCAAGGCAAAGCCATCTTTGCCCCAAGTCAGCGGACTGCTTCCCGTGAAGTCTGCGAAGAGCCTGCTGGGCATGTGCGGGGTGCTCCCCCCCAGCGGGTTGAGGAGGTCTCTCGTGTGGAAGTGTTTGGTCGGCTACGCCCCCCCGTTGGCAGCTCCTGCCAGAGGTGCTGTCGACCCGGGCTCCCCCAGCTGTGGCGTTGGGGGCGCGTGCGGTGAGATCTCGGGGGCGCCTTGCTTGGTCCGCAGGGGCCTGCGGCCGGTGACGGGCGTGAACGAGTCGCTCACCTCCGCCAGGACGTCTTGGTTCCGCTGCACGTGCTCCTCCTTGAGGTCCGTCCCCATGTCCTCGGAGCCCTCCGCCACGGAGATCTCCTCAGCTGTCCTCTTGGTCTGGTCTGTCATCCTCGCGTCGAGGGCCGCATCCCAGATCTCCCCCGCCTCCGCCCCGAACCAGCTGTGGAACTGCTCCCGGGAGTAGAGCCATCCGTGTGGGCCCCGGCGGCGCTCGCACCAGTGGTGCGGGATCTGGGCGCTGTAGGCAACGGTCGGCGTTTGTGTCTGTGAGGTTGGGGATGGCGGTGATGGCGATAGAGTTTGGGTGAGGTTCTCGAGCCACGTGGCGACCTCCCCGGGCTGCACCTGCTTGTCTGTGTTCCCCCAGAGCCAGTTGGCCGTGTCCTGCAGGGCACTGGCGACCCAAGGCGGGACGGCGCCCGCCACTGGCGGAAAAGACGACGAAAGGCCCGCCTCGCGGCGGATCTTCGCCTGAACATCGGCCAAAGATTGGCGGTGGCGCGCCAGTTGTTCCTCCTCTTTCTGGAGCTCGGCCTGGGCTTGCGCCATGGCGTCCCGGGCTGCTTGTGCACGGCGTTCCGTTCGAGTGATTGCCCCTGCGATGCCTGCGAGCTGCTCGTCGAGCGTCCGGGTGTCGACCATCGTCTCGCGGATCGCAGTGATGTCCGCGTCGATGAAGCCGAGGGCTGCATCGGCTGCCCCAGCCTGCTGCAGCGATGTCCGTAGCTGCTGGAGGCGACTGAGCCTCGCCTTCTCCGTGAGGGGCATGTCCTGGATTGAGTTCCGGTCCACGGACTTGTGTTTGATTTTCGTGGGGCCGCCCTTGCCCTTGGCGGCGTTCATGGGCGGACGTGGCGGCGCTGTCGATTTCAACGTTGACGTAGTCAGCGCTGCTGGACCGGCTGCCGTTCCCGGCTTCGCTGTTACAACAGCGGGAGCCGGCCAACGAATTGCTGCACAGGTGCGGCACGCGATCTTGCAGGGCCAGTTAAAGGTGTGACAGCTTTTGCACTGCCAATTCGCCTCCATGCTGCCCTGCGGCGCTCCCGCAGCCGCCGTGGCGTTCCCCGGCACTGAGTGCGAAGTGAGTGGACGCGGCCCACCCGCAAATGAGAAGCTGCTTTAGGATCGATGGGAGCCTACCCCGCTGAGGCAGTGACTGAATGACCATTTTGGCCCTTGAGCCAAAGTGGCTACGGATACTGAGAATGAGAATGATGATGATGATGATGATGATGATGATGATGATGATGATGATGATGATGATGATGATGATGATGATGATGATGATGATGATGCTGATGCTGATGCTGATGCTGATGCTGATGCTGATGCTGATGCTGATGCTGATGCTGATGCTGGTGACTCCTCCAGATTGGAGCTGCGATCGAAGAGCTTCGGCCCATTCCGCCACTGTGCGTGGGATGTGGTTTGGAGTCCTCAGGGATGTTTCTTGGGCTCGGGGCTTCTTCGGGGCCTCTACGGCCGTCGTCGGGCCCTCTTGGAGGCCTCTTGGGCCCCCCTGAGGGTCTCCCGGAGGCCTCTCGGGGCCGAGAGCTCGAAACGTGTGTTCGCGTTCCCCGTCTGGGTTTTTTCTTGGAGCCGTCTAGGGAGGCTCCTGGGCCATCTTGGATGCTTCCGGGGCCGTCTTGGAGCTCTTTTGGACCGATCTGGGCTCCTCCTGGAGCGTTTTCGGGCTCATCCAGAAACCCTCTTGGGCTGAATTCGTTGAAAAATCTTGGAGCTATCTTGGACCCATGTGGGCTCCTCCTGGAGCGTTTTCGGGCTCCTCCTGAAATCCTCTTGGGCTGAATTCGTTGGACAATTTTGGAGCTATCCTGGACATGTTTCTTGTGCTGGGGGCTTCTTCGAGGCCTTCTGGGGCGTCGTCGGGCCCTCTTGGAGACCTCTTGGGGCCCCCTGAGGGTCTCCCGGAGGCCTCTTGGGGCCGCTGGGGGGGCCTCTTCAGCGTCGCTTTGGGGCCTCCTGAGGGGCTCTTGGGGGCTTTGGGGGCCTCTCAGGGGCCTCTTGAGGCCTCCTGGGGGCTTCTTAAGGCCGAGGGCTCGAAGTTTTGTTTTGTGTTCCCCCTCTGGGGCATCGTTTGGGGCCCTCTTGGGCCGTCTTGGATGCCGCTGGGGCCGTCTTGGAGCCCTCTTGGGCCATCTTGGGGCCTTTTTTGGAGCCTCTTGAGAACTCTTGGGGCGATCTTGGGGGCCTCTTGGGCCGTCTTGGGGCGTCGGGAAAGCGAAAAGATGGACACGCCGAAATCTGCCCAAAACCTTAGGACAAGTAATGAATTTTACCTCTTGGGGCCCTCTTGGGAGTGCTCTTGGAGGCCTCTGGGGGCGTCTGGGGGCTATCTTGGGCGTCTTGGAGCGATCTTATGGCATCTCGGATCCCTCGTACACTATCTTGGGGCCTCTTGGCCCTTCTTGGGGCTCTCTGGAGGGCTTCGGGGGCGGCGCCCAGGAGGGAGACCATCTCTGACCCGAGTCTGCCGGGACCCTGCCGGGGTACTTTTCGCCCGGGGACCCCCATGGGCGGCCCCGCGCGCGCAAAGTAGAAGTACTATTTAGCAGTTGCCGGAGATCTTAGCACGCCTCTGGCCCGTTGGGCCGGCGAATTATAGAGGCCAGCGCTGCTGTGCGCCCATTGGTCAGAAATCAAGATGTCCATGGTCTCCCCGCGATGATATCGGAACTGTCGAAAGAAGGTTTTCGTCTTCATGAGACATTGAAGAGTAGTGATCTGATAGAAAGTGTCACGGAGTGTCGGAAATCGTGCCGTCAGTTGCTGAACGAGGCCAAGATCGAGGAGATCCCCAGAATTACCAAGGAGTTCGTGGACCAAAGTAAGACGACTATGTCTATTTTCAATTCACTGGGGCAGCATCTTGAAGCGATGCAGGCGCTTCCTAAACAGATTAAGCAGGTCGCGGGGGACATGCAACTTCTTCAGACTACTTTGCGTGGTGATTTTGGTGACGGCCTCATCGACGTTGCAGCAGAGTGCCGCACGGCCTGCAAATTGCTCGCAGCCTCCAAAACGCAGGACATTATCAAGACGACTGAGCGTTCCCTTGAAGAGTACGAGAAGGTCCATCAAAAACTCAGTCCTTTGACAGATTCAGACGGTGCTCTCTTGGATCAGGTCCGCGAGTCCATGCAGATCATCGGGCGTTTCGATACCTACAAGGTGACGCAGTGCTTCAAATTTCTCGATAACTTCCAGCGCCAGGTAGAGACAATGCCTAAGGCAGATTACGTGAAAGATTCTCTCAAGGATCTTGAGAGCATGGTGCTGTCCTTGAAGCAGTCCCTCGGCGATGTGAAGAGTTGGGCAGGGTGGAGATCTTTACCAGACGACATGGCCAAGCTGCCCGAGCGAGTCGCAAACGAGAGCGTCGACAAACTCAAGACTATGGGTGTCCCTCTGCTGGAAGATAGCTTCAAAGAGGTCGGAAAGAAAGCGAAAGACGCCACTGGAAGGATCGAAGAGTTGTTGGCCAAAGCCGACATCGAAAGCCAGTTGCAGAAGTTCAACAAACAAATCGAAGAAGCGGTAGAGAAGACTCTCCGGAACGTAATCTCACAAAAAAATGCTGTTGTGAGAAACCTTGGCATTGGCACTGTGACAACTGGCGCCGCAACTCTGATTGGTGCGATTCTGACATTTCTCCAGACGTCGTGAAGTCTTGACTGGTGATAAGAATTGCCGCCCTGCTATGTTCAGGACGTCGCACTCGCTGAGGGGTGGAGGGAGTGGGAAGAGGGAGGGGTGGCAGACCATTTGTGAGCATATGGGTTGGAGACAGGGGGGCTCAGTGTGCTGTTGCTCCCGTTCTGAGCGCGTCGCTATGATTATGACGGCCTTCCGGCCGCTCATGGCCACGCTTGCTTCAGCGCTAACGCTTGATTCAGCCTCAACGACCTTGTGTCTCCAAACGGTGACCCGTTCGCATCAGCGGTCGACACGGCAGTCGACGCAGCGCTCGGTGTTCTGAGCGGGTGGATTTCCGCTCAGACGCTCGTAATACTCTTGATAGTCAGCTCAGAATATATAGTGACGATTCGCCAAAGCATGCTTGACGCCCTTTGATTTGGGTAATTTCTGAATTTCCTCAGAAGGGAGCCGCGCTGCGCACCGTGGCTTGAGGTCCGGCAATTGCCGGACCGCAAGCCACCTCAAGCCTCAACCTCAGACCATCAAAATGTGTAAAAAATTAGCCACGTTGATATTATAATGAGGCGTGCTTATTCTTACTACGTGATTGTGCTTGTAAATATGTCTTGGACCTGGGCCCCCCGAAGAAATGAACTCGCACGTAATGCGCAATCCGCTGAAACGAAATCAGACAAAGTGTGGAGCAGTCTAGGCAGGCGGCAGAACGCACGGCATCGCTTCAACCTTCGTTACCCTGGATGTAGAACTCGCTCAAGAGAGTTGGGAGTTGTGACATGCATATCCCGTGCTCCATGGCCAGAGTGAGGAGACAGATCGGTCTTGCATTGCGCGTGGGCGCGTTTCTGAAGGGGTGTTCCGCAATACGGGTTACTATGTTTTGCTGCCTTCGTCGCCCCCCCAGCCCCCCAGAATTTGTCTGCCGCTAGTTGCAGGACCCGCCCGCCCGACACATGCTCGCGACATGCCCGCGACTAGCTGCGCGAGCCCGCGGCCCGCGTGGAAGACCCATGCCTGCTAGGCGTCTCGCGTCATGATCATCATCACCGCCACCGTCGTCATCCTTGCTGGAGCTAGGGGGTTCTCATTTTGTTGGTCTCGCGTTGTGGGGCGTCTCGGCTCGAAAATATTGCGCGCGCTGTGGGGTCTTCCGCGTTCGCCCTCAAGGGAATCGCGAAACCCGCGCCGCGGGGCCACGAGGGGGCCGCAGGGCCACGGGGCTGAGGTGAAAGCGGAAGTGGCCCATCCGAGGTGGGCCAGTTGGCCCTGGGCGGGGAATGGGTCGAGAGCGGGCTGAACGAGAGAGAGAGAGAGAGAGAAAGAGAGAGAGAGAGGCCCAAAACTGGGCGTCAATGTTTTCGAACATACTGACGCGCCTTTTCGGCGGTGCCGTTAGACAAGTTTGACCCCCTCACGCGCTGGGAAGGAAGGGCGTCTGCATACGGTGCGCCAATGTGAATGCGATCTCTGAAATGGATCTCCACTGTCGCAGTCGCTGCCCCATGCCCGCCTTGGCTTAGAAAGCGCCAAATTTTATGTTTAAGAGTGCTCTTAAGAATCTGTCTTCGGACTCTGAATCTTGAAGATCCAATCTGGCGCTTTCCAGGTCAAGGCGGGCAGGGACGGTGACTGCGACAACGAAGAACCGTCTCAGAGATCACAGTCACACCATCGCACCATTAGATGTCCATCCAACTCGGCGCGTCAGGAAGGCCAAACATGTCAAACGGCACCGCCGAACAAGGGCGTCAGTATTTTTAAAAAGATTGACGCCCGGTTTTGGGCCTTTCGGCCTTGGGGGACTGAGGTGGGCCACTTGGGGGACTGAGGTGGGCCACTTGGCCCTGCGGGGCTTGGGCCCCCTCTGGGTGAAACGGTGGTTTTGGTGGGGTGTTTCGTTTTCTTGCCCTGCATTGTGAGCCCGCACAAGATTGAGTTGACACTGCATTGAGTTGACATTGTACGGTACATCGACGAAATGTTGCACCACCTGATGTTGTCAAGAAAGCAAGCCGATTTTGCAATTGATGTTCGCTTCCACCCCCCCCTCCCCCCAATCTTAGTATTGGCTGCGGTCCCGGGTTAATCGAAACGTCTCGGTGGTGCAACATTCTGTCGCGAGCCCTGAGGGGGGCGCCAAGGGACCTTTGCCATGTGCCCAATATTAAGATCAGGGGGAGGGGGGGAGGAGCAATGCAATACAGCTGACAATACGCAGCAAAAGTGGTGCAACATTTCGTCGACGTACGGTACTACGCTCCGCTGGACAGGTACCGGCCTACGGTTTCAGAGAGAGTGCAGGGAGGGATCAGGGAAGTGTTGAGGGAGGGTTCAGGGAGGATTGGAGGAAGCTGTCGCGGGAGGGCTCGAGGAGGGCTGCACGACTGGAGGGGACGTTAGATACAGAATGGAATGGAGGTTTAAACGGAAGGCTGGAGGGAGCCTTGGAGACAGGGTTCGTGGGAGGGCTCCAGGGAGGGTTGGAGGGATGGTTGGAGGCCGGGTCCGTTAAGGGAGGGTTTCAGGGAGTGAGGGCTGGAGGGAGGGTTGGGGGAGAGAAGGACGACAAGGGGGACGAGGAGGAAGACGACGACGACGGTGATGATTAGGATAAGGAGGAGCAGGAGGCGGAGGAGGAGGAGGAGAAGGAGGAGGAGGAGGAGGAGGAGGAGGAGGAGGAGAAGGGGGAGGGGGAGCAGGAGGAAGAGGTGGAGGAATGAGGAGGAGAAGGGGGGAGTCGGAGGAAGGAGCGGTGAGGTGGAGGGAAGATGGAAGAGTGAGGAGTCGGACGAAGGATGGAGGAGTGAGGAGCCGGACGAAGGGAGGTGGAGGCAGGAGCAGGGGTGGAGGTTGGAGCGAGGAGTCGGAGGGGAGATGGAAGAGTGAGGAGTCGGAGGGAGGATGGAGGTGTGCGGAGTGGGAGGGTCGAAGGAGGCTCGAAGAGTCGGAGGGGCCATGGAGGAGTGAGGAGTCGGAGGTTGGAGCGAGGAGTCGGAGGGGAGATGCAAGAGTGAGGAATCGGAGGGAGGATGGAGGTGTGCGGAGTGGGAGGGTCGAAGGAGGCTCGAAGAGTCGGAGGGGCCATGGAGGAGTGAGGGGCCGGAGGGAGGAGCGAGGAGTCGGAGGGGAGATGCAAGAGTGAGGAATCGGAGGGAGGATGGAGGCGTGGGGAGTGGGAGGGTCGAAGGAGGCTCGAAGAGTCGGAGGGGCCATGGAGGACTGAGGAGTCGGTGGGAGGAGCGTGGAGTGAGGGGCCGGAGGGCGGAGGGAGGAGTCGGAGGGGCGATGGAAGAGTGAGGAGTCGGAGGGAGGATGGAGGTGTGCGGAGAGGGAGGGTCGAAGGAGGCTCGAGGAATTGGAGGGGGGAGCGAAGAGTGAAGGGTCGGAGGGGGGAGCGAAGAGTCGGAGGGAGGATGGAAGAGTGGGGAGCCGGAGGGAGGTTGGAGGGAGGCCTGGACGGAGGGTTCGAGGGAGGGCTCCACGGAGGGTTGGAGGGATGGTTGGAGGCCGGGTCCGAAAGAGGGCTGGAGGGAAGGTTTGAGGGAGTGTGGGCTGGAGGGAAGGTGGGGGACGACACGGAGGAGGAGGGGGAGAAGGAGGAGGAGGAGAACGACGACGACGACGGCGACGATGAGGATGAGGATGAGGAGGCGGAGGAGGGGGAGGAGGAGGAAGAGGTGCAGGAATCAGGAGGAGAAGGCGTTGAAAATTCTAAACGCCAGATGGCTCCAGAACCCGGTGTGGCTGGACAAGTCCCGGTGCGAATTCAGACGGCACGGGGACTCCACGCATGCCAACGGTTCCCCCGGGTAGCGTTGCTGGATGGACTGGTGCGGGGGCGCGTTACAGTGGAACACTCACAACGGGCACGATGGTTCCACACCCCGACGTGGCTCCAGAACCCGGTGTGGCTGGAGAAGTCCCGGTGCGAATTCAGACGGCGCGGGGACTCCACGCATGCCAACGGTTCCCCCCGGTGTCGTTGCTGGATGGACTGGTGCGGGGGCGCGGTACAGTGGAACATTCGCAACGGGCACGATGGTACCACGCCCCGACGTGGCTGGACAAGGCGCGTTGTTAAACGCACGGGTGGTCAACCGCGCCGTCGGATCGTGGGGAACAACGGCAGGCCTGCAAACTGTTTGGTAGGGATCACGATGGCGATGCTGTTGTTTCAAATGAGAACGGTGGTGACGATGATAGTGATGGTGGTGATGACGATGATGTTGACAGACATTCTGAAAATAATGTCTGGCCGTCGCTCACACGACGGGCGCCGGGGGCGCGGCGGCTGCAGCGTACGCCGTGGCCTGCCCAATGACAAGCCTGGCGAAACAACACGGGCAATGCGGCAAAGTCGCCGCCGGCTTCGGCTGTCTCACATTGGAGCGAAAGATTTTCAAACGCCGCATAAGCATCGAAGCTTCCGTGTCGAAGGGTTTCCCGGTCGCGGGGCTCGGTTGCGCTGCAGCCTCCAGGACGTCTAGGTCCGCCAACGTGGTCGTGATGAAAACAGGGGCCGAACCTTTGTGCAAGAAGTGCCCAGGGCACCCTTTTTCATTCTGGGGCCGGCTCAGCGGCAATGCGCCCCCGTCGAACCATAGCTGCTGCAATGGGTAAGACACGATGTCTGGATTGAACCGGCACTCGTCTAAGAAGCACACCTTCGCTTCTGGAATGTGCAACAAAGGAAAATTGCCCTTGGAAGGCGTCGGGAAGACGGCACGGTGGGTCGCGAAGACGTTCAGCAGAGCCCTCAGGAAGATGCTCTTCCCCTCGCCGCCGACGGATCCAGCCAGAGATTGTTTTTTTATCCTCTGGGGGGTAACGCTCGTTACCCGGGCCTCTCCCCCCCCCCCCCCCCGTAACGGTAACGCTCGTACGCGGGGGGGGTCTCGGTCTTCCCCTCCAACATGCTGGTGCCCGAAGGCATGCGCACTGTGGTGTGGTGGTCGCAGGCGCACTGTGGGCGCTCGCAGGCCATTGCGGCGCTCGCATGCGCGATGCTGGTGCTTGCGGGCTTTGCGCTTGTACTCGAATCGTCGTCGTCGTCGTCGTCGTCGTCGTCGTCGTCGTCGTCGTCGTCGTCGTCGTCGTCGACGGCGCCCGAAAACGGCCTCCGGAGGCCGAAACAGGCGGCAAACGTCGTCGTCGTCGTCGTCGACCTCGTCGCTCGTCGCTCGTCGATCATCGTCGTCGCGCGCGCGGGCGCGGGCGTGGTGCCGGGACCACGCGGCGGGCTTTGCGCTTGTACTCGAATCGCAAGCCACTGTGGTGCTCTCAGGCAGAGAGTGCTGCTCGCGCGCATACTATGGCGATCGCAGAGCGCCCCTGCTTCGCCATACCCCGCCCAGCCCAAGCGTTACCGTTACCCGGGGGGCACGCCCCCCCCCCCCCCCCCCCGGGTAACGAGCGTTACCGGCCGGAATAAAAAAATGATCTCCCTGGACCACCACTGGGGTGGCGGGGCTGCATGGCGACGTGGATATCGTAGCAGAGCTCCGCCAAGGGCACGCCGTTCGCCACCATGCTGGACGTCGCGTAGGACAGCCACTGGCCCCTGCAGACGCAGTCGCCCCTGGCGGCGGCGGCCATCGCCTCGAGGCGCGTGGCCCGGCACTGCTGCACAGTGCTGTCGTCGATCTCCTCCCAGGCCCAGATATCGTCGATGACGCTGTTCAAAGTGTTCCTGCGCTTGAACAAGTACTCGACCATCGCCTGCCCAGCATGCTGCTTCGCGAACAGCGCCAGTTGCTGGTCCGCGGCGCGGTCGTCGGGCGCGCCCCTCGCGCCAGACCGGACCGCGAGGGCCCAGACGTCGCTGGATAGGGTCACGGGCATGTCGGGGATCAGATTAAGAATGATGAAAATGGTCTTCTCATGGTTCTAGGCCGCTTGCGGGCCGTGCGGTGCTGAAGTTGAAAATGGTTCATGGTGGTTTTGAAAATGGCCGCGCGCGGGTTTCAAATAGTTTCGGCGTCAAACTAGCAGCTTGGCGCGCCCGCCATTGGAAGGTATGATTACGCGCAACGCGGCCTTCGCTCAGGGGTGCCAGGGCAAGTGGCGCTTGATCCCCCTTCCCACTCTGCCCTGCAGTAGGCGGTGCGAGCCATGGGCGTTTGAGCCTTCTCTGTGCCTCTTCACATGCAGCCCGAGCTCGGCCTTTAAGCGCGCGGGTGTCTTTTGTTGGGCTAGTTGGAACTAGAGGTTGCGTCTCGAACCGAAAGAGCCAACATGTTTTGTCCCACCAATTACCGTTGCTACTGCACGCTGCTGGGGCTGCCGCCCACGAAGGCATCCCCAGGTTCGCGCCGAGTCCGTCACATGTGAAATGTGCTGCGTTTGCAGGCTGGCCCGCGCCGAGTCCGCGGCATGTGAAGGGTTTGACAACTCGACGCCGCGCCGAGCAAGCTATCGTGCCCCCCCATACCCTCCTTATCGGCAGAAGCAGGGGCGCGTGCAAAAGGGCACTTGTTTAAGTTGTTGTATGTTTTCAAGTTTGTGCCTAGCAGCTCCGCGAAACTACTGCAGCACGCGCCTGTGCAGTCCATCGTTGTGTGTGTTGGGCAATTCGTTATTTTCCCTCCCCGCTCTGAGGTCGCCGCCCTGGGCGGCCGAATGACGAGAAACTTTGCTCAAACTTGCGCCGCAGGATGTGGAGTGAGAAGATATGGTACGATGCGGGATCGATTACACATGTCTGCGGTAACTGCATATGCAACAAGGGGACGATTTGGGGAGACTCGTGGCCCGTCAAAGGAGGAGGACCATGAGCAGGAGCAACTGCAACAGGCGTGCGTCTAGGCGCGCGTGGCCCGGCACTGCGTCAAAGAAAAACCGTGGTGACTATAATGATTATGGACGACCGGGGGGGGGGCAGCTGCTTTGGCATTGGCGGTGCGCGCCGCAGGCATCTGGATATCTGGACAAACCGCGGGTGCAGCTGCAGGAAGTTCTTCCTGCCCTCGCACTTCCGCTCGTTCGCCAGCGAGACCTCCCTGCTTGTTTTGCGTGCTCGGTCGCGCCCGTGTTTCATGTTGCCCACAGCCACCTGGCACTCCATCTGAGAAATGGCCCCGGCCATGTGTCTCTGGAAAACTGTGTATGGGTCCTTGTTGGTGAACAGCCCTGGGATCGAGGCGTGCACCAACTCCAAACCTCGCTTTTCGCACTCCGCGATCGCCTCTTCCTGCACCATCAAGCGGCGGGCCAAGCGCTTCTCGTCGGGCACCGCGATCCGCTTGATGCCGCGCTTCTCGCACCTGTCCAGGAAGGCGGCCACGCCCGGCCTGGACAGGAACGGCGTCGAACCTGGGGAAGCAAAAAAAAATCGACGACAAATTCGGCGATCGATTTTGCAGTACTTCGCCGCGGGGGCGGTGGAAACATGAAGGCGGGGGGGGGGGCGCTTGCTGTAGCAATTGCGTTGCGTAGCGTCTGGCGCGCTAACAAATCCAGGGTTTCGCGCCGATGGGCGATGTTACCTTCGGAAGAGGACGCGACGCGCCGCATTCCTCATCCAATGCCCTTGCGGTGCGTGGGGGCGTTGTGGCCCCGCCGTCTTGGGACGTTCTTCAAGACGAGCGTTTCCTGGGCGGTGGGGGGGCGCCCCTGGCCGCTTTCGTTATCTGTGCCTTCTGCCGCGGCACGCTGGCGCCATCCACGTTCGTCATCGTCGACGCGCGTGTCGCGGCAGCCGCCTTCATCTTGGCAGGCATGGCGCGGGCGCCAGAAAACGAAACAAACGTGTGTTGCGCGGTGCCCGAACGCCGCAGGCGCGGCAGATAGGAGAGGGAAGGAGGAGCAGGAGCAGGAGCAGGAGCAGGAGGAATGCAATTAGGCGGTGGATGGGGACGCGGGGGAAGGGGGGAATGGGGCGAGGAGGGGGGCGAGGAGGAAAACTGGAGGAGGGGGCAGTGAGGAGGAAGGAGGACGCGCGAGGGGGGGCGCGGCCCCCGCCGAGGCTTGAAAACGCTGGAGGGCGGCAGGGGCAACGCCGGCGACGGCGCCGACGAGGGTTGGGGCGGAGACAGAAGAACGCGCCGGAAGTCGGTCCTGGACCGACTTCCGACGCGGGCCCGCGTCGGAAGTGGGTCCAGGACCGACTTCCGACGCGGGCCCGCGTCGGAGGTGGGTCCAGGACCGACTTCCGACGCGGGCCCGCGCCAGAAGTCAGTCCTGGACCGACTTCTGGCACAGCCCGGCGGCCGGCGCCAGAAGTTGGCCGACGGTCCGTGGGGGCCGTTCGAAGGGGGGGCTCTTGCGCTGGCAGGAGCAAGCGGCAGGTCGGCGGCAGTCGGCGGGAGTAGGCGGGGCCCACCGGCTGAGGGCCCGCCAGAGCTGGCGGAGAGGCGGACGCTCTTGCCAACAGACGTTGGCGGGAGGTCGGCGGCAGCCGGCGGAAGTACGTGCAGCCTGCGGCCGACGGCCCGCAGGAGGCCGCGGAAGTACGTGCAGCCTACGGGCGACGGCCCAGGGGAGGTTCGTGTCGCCCGACAGAAGTCACAAATAGACTGCGGCGGACTGACAGCGGGGGCCGGCGGGGATCCCTGGGAGGCCCGTGGCAACCGGAGGAAGTAAGCGTGGACCACCCAACTGTAGCCATTCGTTGCTTTTTCGGGGCTCAAGCAGCGCGGGGGCAGCTTTTTCTGGACACGCTATCATGGGCGCGGCACCCCCCCACCGTCCAGGAAACGCTCGTCTTGAAGAACGTCCCAGGACGGCGGGGCCACAACGCCCCCACACACCGCAGGGGCATTGGATGAGGAATGTGGCGCGTCGCGTCCTCTTCCGAAGGTAACATCGCCCATCGGCACGAAACCCTGGATTTGTTAGCGTGCCAGACGCTACACTACGCAATTGCTACAGCAAGCGCCCCCCCCCCGCCTTCATGTTTCCACCGCCCCCGCGGCGAATAACTGCAAAATCGCACGCCGAATTTGTCGTAGAGTTTTTTTTGCTTCCCCAGGTTCAACGCCGTTCCTGTCCAGGCCGGGCGTGGCCGCCTTCGTGGACAGGTGCGAGAAGCGCGGCATCAAGCGGATCGCGGTGCCCGACGAGAAGCGGTTGGCCCGCCGCTTGATGGTGCAGGAAGAGGCGATCGCGGAGTGCGAAAAGCGAGGTTTGGAGTTGGTGCACGCCTCGATCCCGGGGCTGTTCACCAACAAGGACCCATGCACAGTTTTCCAGAGACACATGGCCGGGGCCATTTCTCAGATGGAGTGCCAGGTGGCTGTGGGCAACATGAAACACGGGCGCGACCGAGCACGCAAAACAAGCACGGAGGTCTCGCTGGCGAACGAGCGGAAGTGCGAGGGCAGGAAGAACTTCCTGCAGCTGCACCCGCGGTTTGTCCAGATATCCAGATGCCTGCGGCGCGCACCGCCAATGCCAAAGCAGCTGCCCCCCCCCCCGGTCGTCCATAATCATTATAGTCACCACGGTTTTTCTTTGACGCAGTGGCAGGGCCACGCGCGCCTAGACGCACGCCTGTTGCAGTTGCTCCTGCTCATGGTCCTCCTCCTTTGACGGGCCACGAGTCTCCCCAAATCGTCCCCTTGTTGCATATGCAGTTACCGCAGACATGTGTAATCGATCCCGCATCGTACCATATCTTCTCACTCCACATCCTGCGGCGCAAGTTTGAGCAAAGTTTCTCGTCATTCGGCCGCCCAGGGCGGCGACCTCAGAGCGGGGAGGGAAAATAACGAATTACCCAACACACACAACGATGGACTGCACAGGCGCGTGCTGCAGTAGTTTCGCGGAGCTGCTAGGCGCAAACTTGAAAAAATACAACAACTTAAACAAGTGCCCTTTTGCACGCGCCCCTGTTTCTGCCGATAGGGAGGGTAGGGGGGGCGCGATAGCTTGCCCGGCGCGGCGCCGAGTTGTCAAACCCTTCACATGCCGCGGACCCGGCGCGGGCCAGCCTGCAAACGCAGCACGTTTCACATGTGACGGATTCGGCGCGAACCTGGGGATGCCTTCGTGGGCGGCGGCCCCAGCAGCGTGCAGTAGCAACGGTAATTGGTGGGACAAAACATGTTGGCTCTTTCGGTTCGAGACGCAACCTCTAGTTCCAACTAGCCCAACAAAAGACACCCGCGCGCTTAAAGGCCGAGCTCGGGCTGCATGTGAAGAGGCACGGGGAAGGCTCAAACGCCCTTGGCTCGCACCGCCTACTGCAGGGCAGAGTGGGAAGGAAGATCAAGCGCCACTTGCCCTGGCACCCCTGAGCGAAGGCCGCGTTGCGCGTAATCATACTTTCCAATGGCGGGCGCGCCAAGCTGCTAGTTTGACACCGAAACTATTTGAAACGCGCGCGCGGCCATTTTCAAAACCACCATGGAGCATTTTCAACTTCAGCACCGCGCGGCCCGCAAGCGGCCTAGAACCATGAGAAAACCATTTTCGTCATTCTTTATCTGATCCCCGACATGCCCGTGACCCTATCCAGACGTCGCCACCCGTCAGGCGACCCGGCTCCTTCCCCTGCTCCGCTGCGACGCTGTCGGCGCGGAGCCTCCTGGCAGTCATGGCAGCCGCTGTCACCGGCTCGCGCACGCTGTCCAGGATGGCTGG